TCCCCCCCCTTAAAGCATGGGCGATATTGCAGCGTTACTAGCTTGCAGGACTGGGAAGCATGCAGCGGTCTCTTACAGGCGTCACAAGCTCATTGCCACACAGCCACTCTGCCACATCTCCATAACGACAACCACAACAGCCACCAGGACAAGACGAAGAACCAGAATAATATCGTGATTGAACAACGAGCCAGCAGCCGCCTGCGCCGCAGCAGCAGCAGCAGCGGCCCCGGCCCCGGCCCTGGCCCCGGCCCTGGCCCCGGCCCCAGCTCCAGCCGCCTCCGCCACCGTCTTTTTCGGATGGACGGTTGCTCAACAGTGCTGGCTGCTGAGATAGAGATCTTCCACGACAAGTTACCAGAAGAAGTTGTCAACCTGCCTTGTTTGTCTCCACTGAAACATGTGCAGACATTTGGGGCCCATGACAGGCATATGTCGCGCTGTACATTGCATCCTTCCTCCATACAATGTGCACCATAGCGCCTGCTACTCAGAGCCGGGCAGGTTGAGCTGCCTTTGTGTTGCAACAATTGTGGACCTGGATGCTAGAAGACTTTCCCAGCGAAGCACGCTTCCTGAATGTGGAGGGGAGGTGACGTTTGGTCTTGCGCGTGGGGTGCGGGGGCAAGGAGGGGTTGGGGTGTTTGGGTCGGCGGGAATGTTCGCGAACACATCCTTCTCCACTCCGGAGCTGCGGCAAGTTGCTACGGCTGGAGAATCCTGAGGTGCTTCCTATGGTTTCACTTATGTGATGTGTTCTCGACGCCAGAACATGTTGGAAGACTGTGCTTCTGGATCCTGCACATGATTTGGCAAAAGCCTTTACTTGCGGCTGGTCTGGGCAGCAGCCCTCTGTTGCATGACGCCCCTGCACGTACGTACCGAGCAGATGCAGACATTCATACTGTAATCCTTTACCCCTAATATTGAAGGGCTCCCCCTAAGCTAAATACTCCGAACCATATTTAATATTGGGGGGGGGTCATTTATCGTACGACCCGAACATTAGGGGGGGGGGGTAATTGAAATTCTGATTAAGATAGTACAAAATTCGACTAATAAGGGACTATTTCAAATTAGGGCCTTATTAGGGACTATTTCGAAGCAGTGCCTTATTAGGGACTGTTTCAAATTGGGGCCTTATTGGGGACCATTTCCAATTAGGGCCTTATTAGGGACTATTTCGAACTAGGGCCTTAGTAAGGACTCTTCCAATTTAGGGTGTTGGAATCTGTTTCTGGAATTGTTTTATATAATTTCCTGTATAGAAACCATTCAAAAACAATCGGAATCTAGGAAATCAAGGAGATCCCTAATCCCTAAGAATCATTCTAAACCCCCCCCTTAATTCAGAGGATCCAAGCCGCAATTAACTTTAGTCCTGGCCCGTTTAAAAGTAGTCTTAGGGGCAGATTTCAGAATTTGAAATTTTGGTGAACCCGTATTTAATATGAGTGGGGTTTGATAGTAGGAAGGGATTTTCAGAGTAGATGAGCCGGTGTGTCAGCATTCAACATACTCGTATTCAACAAAAAGGAATGCTCGAACAACTACCATAACGGGCACCACGCTTATAGTCCTGTCATCGGTGGCAAAGGAAAGCTGGAGACATGACGCCGGGTTTTCAATGCTTTCTCAGACTACTTAGCAGATGGTTGAAGCGTTGGCAAGAGCAGCTAGGCAAGACCGCTGGGTGGGCATCTCAGAGCGGCGTCCTGCTTTGTACAGCATACGCTTGTGCTTTGAAGGGTGGCAAGGACGCGGCGGGAAGCTCTGCCCCTCTGCCTGATGATGACTGCCAAGAAAAAATGCTAAGACTGCATGATTTGCTTGAGGCTGGGCACGAGTCGGCAGGTGGCCCAGAAAGGTATAGGCGCACTTTCTGGAGCTTGTCTAAGCTCTGTGAGCAGCTCTGCATGCTATGTCGCATCGTCGCATTGTGAGTCAGGTTCTGCTGACACCTGCTGCTGCGGCAAAGGCCGGTTTTGGTCCAGCGCTAGTTGCACAACGCTAGTGCATGCCAGTGCACTTACGTCGAAGTGTAATGCCTGCTTCGCTTGGATCGCCATCCCATAGCTTCTGAAGATACTTGATGAGGGCTTGCCGGTGGTTTCATGGTTGGGTTGAGACGGTTCTATGCCCGCTGTAGGGCCTCGCACCAACAGATGGCGAAGGGATGTAAAACCGACAACCATCTCAGTGTTTGTGTTGTGGAGATTTGCACTATGAAGTGCTCAAAATGCTGCGAGAGCCAACGACAGGGGACAATGTTTCCTGTTTGGGTGATATGTTGTATTCTCGTAGAGAAACTTGATGACCGAGAGTCAAGACACTGAGGATGGAAAGGTTTAAGTATCTACTCAAACCGCAAGGGGCCAGCGTGATGGGACCTTCCGAAGAAAGCTGACTAGGTATGCGAACAACCACGCGCTAAGAGGATCCTGAGAACGTTCGTGCTGAATCTAAAGGGACTGCCTGCAAAAAGAACCCCGTCACCGTACCTTATGTTTACACTCTGAATCAAGAATGGTAGGCTAGCCATTGATGGTTATGGTTTGGGCATGGATGCTCTGGTAACGTATGCCGTATGCACTTGGGACACAAACGTTATTTCTCATGCTCGGCATGGATGCCCTGCAGTAAACGTATTCGCTTGGAACACGAAGGTTTCTGTGTTTTGGGCATGGATGCTCTGGTCAACGTATGCACTTAGAACACGACGTTGTGTGGTCTGGTGAAGCCTGGAAACCGGTAAACGCCAAGAAGCCTGCAGCTTCATAGGGCCGCGTGGAGCACTACGCAACCAAACCTTTTTTTGGTATGTGCCCACATTTGCCCTTGTGCTCGACACAGAACGTATTTTTCGTGGGGTGTTCGTTTTGACCCACAGCCAACCACCATCATCGGTGAGCATCCATGTTCGCTTAGCACAGCGCGCAGTCGGCAGCACATCTGACTTCAGTCGCTACAATGTGGAGCAGCCATCTTGCGATTGGCCTACACTATACATCTCTTCAGCGCCACCATCGCCGGCAGACAAGTTTCCATGTCTGACATCGCTTCTTGGGCCTTCAGTGGTTCTATACGTTTGTGTCTGCCCTTCTTTTGTACAAGCTTCCCTCTACATGCATCGAAGCCAGACCATCACGTTCGTCTGCATGCTTTCGAAGTTGTGGTTGTTGCAACAGACAGTCTCGTGCTTTGCAACTCGTACAGCAGCACATACCAGTTCGTCTGCATGCTTTCGAAGTTGTGGTGTTGCAACGCAACTCGTACAGCAGCCCATACCATCTTTCCGCAAGCCCCTTGTACAAACTTTCAACGTTTGAAGACTTCACACGTCGTAGCAGCTCCTGATTCACTATGGAATTCTCGTTGGTGAAGTACAACGAGGCCTTTGAATAGACTGGCTGTACACACCTCAGTTTTGCAGGTCTTTGCCTCTGGCTTCCTGAGACCTCGGGACCCTGCCTCAGAAAATAAATAGGCTGGGCAAAAGCAGTTCGCTGAGATGTCAGTCATGTAATTGGCCACGACGGTGAGGCAGTGAAAAGCTTGTTAAAGCTATGTTAACGCGCTTTCGCGCTGCCTATCCTGACTCGAGCTGCAGCCTTGCAACGTTTTTCTTGCCCTCAGCAACTTGCAAGTGAACCGCACGTGCGGAGAAGACCCTCCAGACAGAGGGCCGTGGCGGGGAGAGTGGGGTTGCTGGAAAGCCCATGTGCAGTGTACAGCTTTCCTCTTGGATGGTGGTGGAACTAAGCTGGATGCGGTTCTAGATTCTAAGATAGTTGCGCCCGCCGTTGCGCCGCCTCGGGCGCACGGTTCTTGACATGCCTTTCAACGTTTGTACACAGATGCGCACAGTCAACATGTATGAGCATTTGTTCTTGCAAGCCCGAGCTTGCACTGATGTACACGTTTAAAACTGTTTCCTCTTCATTGACGGAATATGGAAGTATGGTTAGGTGGTTACTTGAGAACCAGTGGCACCCCTGTCATTGAAGTCGCATGTTGGTGGGGGTATGGGTGGTCTGATATACGCAAAGAATGTTGTCTTCTCTTTGTGAGGGGATAGAGTTAATCAAGTTAAGACCCTTCATAAGGAAATAGGATTAAGTATAGACTTTCATTGTTTAGGGTTTGTGGCATATGAGCACACTGTGACCACCGGCATTGAAGTGTCATGTTGGTGTTGCTTCTAGCCAGAACTAAGTTTTTTAGTCAAAGCTTCGGGCTTTACAATTTCAAGGCCTTCTGCTGAGCCTCCGACAGGACCATGGGCAAGACGCGCCTATCTGGGTCGCTCCACCGCCGCCCGCCATTGGAAAATGAGCGGGATGTGGGGTAATTTGAGGGTGTGGGGAACTTAGTGGAAGGTAGCCTCAACGCTAAATTCGGTGTCCTTGACCCTAAACCTGTGCAAGCCCGACCGTTTTGGGAGGGTGTCGCCACACCGTCGCCACACAAGAAAATTGCACATTTGTTCTGTGCCTTCTTGTGGACCCAAAGCAGTTTGATGCCGGCCGTGACAAGAACGTCAGAAAGGGTGGCGCAGGCGGTGGTTGGGGGATGGGAGGGAACGCCCTCACATCAGGGAGTTGTGGGCGGGAAAGGCTGGTGTGGGTTGGGGGAAGGAAGATTTGAAGTTGGACAAGAGACAGGGGGCTGCTGGAAAGCTGAAGGACAGGCAGGAAGGAGTGATGAGAGGGAGCAGGGGGTTGGGGTGGCAGGAGCGGGTAGCGCGGGTTTGGGGATTCAGCCTGCATGCTACTACCACGAAAACACAGCGTCGGCGTCGATGCTTCCTTTACGCTGGCCAGGGGAGGCTGGAGAGCGGAGTGGGCATAGTAAACATCTCCCATCATCTCCTACGGCCTGTGACATCGGCGGTTTGCTACCATCAATACCTGAAGCCTATTGCTCTGCAAGCTTATCCCCACATTGAACTGCCATGCTTCATCATCTGCTGGGTCGAGGCTTTCAGCAGAGAGACCATGAAGGCCTCTGTCAGCACTTTTCAATTCCAATAATCTCAGCTGGCCTGATGTTAGGCAGTGTCGGCAGCCGAGTCCTTGATTACTACTCTTATCGAGGGAGCCGCGGTCCCAGGAAGTCTAAATGGGCAGATTACTCCAAGCCGTGCATGATTTTGCAGCACTTGCAGAGGCAGAGGAAAAGGATCTTTGGATTGGCGGAGAGCCGCCCGACTTTAAGAAGGCGCAGACCCGACGAAGACTTTAAAGGCATCCGAAGCTGTAAACCTGTGAGGGGCTGCCCGACACGGACTCAGATGCTGAAAGTCCCTGACGTGACCTCGGAGAACCATTCTCAGATATCCTACAAGTGTCCTGACAAGTTCGATTAGGCTCAGCTAATGTCTTGGGAAACTGATCAACTCTGCACATATGAGCAGACAATCCGGAAAAGGCAAAGTGAGACCTTGTTGAAGCATCATGAGAGTTGATCTGTCGAGCTCTTGCGAAGATGCGCTACTCACAAATTCCATGGCGTTTGCCTTGAAATGCCAGGTTTATACGCTGGCGTCATTCTCGGCTCAATATGCCAAGCTTGGCTGGCAGACAAGGTCGAATTTATCAAGCGCCCCTGGCAGCTGACTTGCCAGTGCAACCGACAGATTCGCAAATGGAAAAGTGTGTTTCCCGCATGCGGACATCCATAGATTCATTGGTTGCATACTCATGAAAAATCTAATTGCTTGCGCTCACCCAGGCGCACCTCTTCAAACGCAAGCAAGATGTAGAATTTGTGTCGCGCTGGTGGGCCATGGCGTTCCACTTCTGGTGTAGTGTGTTCTTCGGAGTGTGGAGTTCCTGCCGGGCCTTCAATATTGATGCAGGGTTTACGTGCAGGTGCGGGGCTGCAAACTAAGTACGCGCAGTCTTGGATCAATAGCTTTTGCAGATCTGACGTGGATGTCACCGATGCCAGTGTTGTTTGAACAGATGTTGTCTCCTGGTTCAGGGCATCCAGCAATGAATATGCCTGCGCTTTTGCGCTTGACCGCAACCTAACTTCAGCATGGAGCTTCTGCTGCAAATTGGGCTGCATAGGCTGTGAGGGGGGCCGTCTGCAAGGGACACGGCAGGTGTGCATGCTTGAGAATTTTGCATTCCTGAGGGCATCAGACGGCCGAGCACCACAGTGGTTGGAAGCACGAATAGCAGGCCCTGCGTCTTGCGCACGCATGGGCATTGTTGCAAATGCTGCTGTTATGCTGTGCAGACGGAAGCTATGCAACGCTGGGATCGTATGCTGTGACCGCTGTGCTGGGCCGTGCAGACCTGGCACCAACAGCTTGGCGCCTGGAAGGGGTCGAACCAGGCACGCCCACGCAGCGCCAGATCCTGGACGAGGTGGCTCTTCACAATTCTGCTCCCTTCTCCATCTCCTTGCTAAGGGATTGAAACGATCTTTTTGCACAAGCCTGAGCTGTTCAGCCTTTCCATTTGTGTTCTCAAACAGCGCGAATCTGATCCGCGCTTTAAACTGGTGTACTGGGAATGCCTTGTGCGCCTCTATGGGGCTCGTCTTTCATGATAATATCAGCAACATTGAATGTATCATTTCTGAACCATATACTTTGCTGAGGGCGTGTTTGTGCTGAGCCGGCACCAGCCTTCGATGTGTCGAATGCAACAAAATTTTTGTCGAGTTCCTTCTTGGTATTCTTTGATAATTGTATGTACTGCAAATCATTCCGAGCACGACATCGCGAGGCAGGAATGAGGTTGATGTTGCCAATAATTACTAGTAGGGCAAGATCTTGCTAATGACTGAACATGACATCCATTTGCTGCTGGGGTGTGGACTTGCTGTTCTGTACTCTGAGGTGCATGACAAGGTGTGGCAAGAAGGTACAACTCACATCAGGGACCTTGGAGGCTTGGAATCCTGCACAACAGCCTCTGGCTTGAGAACATTCCTTTCGCAAAAGTTGCAAGTATATTTGACAGGCTTCAGCTCTTGGAGAAGCTACATGCTGACCATGTTGGCTGGCACTGGACGCTTGGAAGAGCAATACTCCCATCACTAGAGACGCATTTCATGCTCGGGAAAAAGCCTGGAGCCGAGGTACACAGGTGGCCATTGCAGAGCTGCAACTGATGCCAAAGATGGGCTACGCTTTCGAAATCTCTCACTGGACAACATGCTCTGCGACATGTGGTGGCGGCTCGCAGCAGAGGACAGCTTCTCGACTTGGTCTGGAGCGCGCAGGATCCAGGATGCATGCGTGTAGAGGGCAAGCAGCGGCAAAAATCCCATGAAATGACATCAAGGTGGTTTGCAAAGGAGATGACGGAGTGAGTTACAGTGACAATCGCTGTACAACCGGAGAACCTCCAGCAAGGTCGCGTGCGTGTGGAACTTCAATTTGCGCTTGTCAGGCTGGATGGACACGGTCGAGTTGTTTCAGTTGTGCAGTGACAGGCAATGAAGTTGTGACATGCTGTGACAGGGGGGTGCGGCTTGCAGTGCCGCCAGCTGCAGCACTTCCAGCGCGGCAACAGCAGATCTAGGCTGCGGCGTGCTCCTGGATGGGGCCACGCTCACAGTGCGGGCCTCGTGGTTTGCCATGAGGTGTGTTCCGAGCGCTCCGATCCCAACTGATCCCAAGCGCGCAGAGGCATGGACGTCAGCTGGCCCAGCCCCTCAGTGGCTCTCACTCGATTTGGGCAAGGTCCTGATGCTTAATTGGCTTGTAGAAGATGCCTGTTGGGTTTTGAAAGCCCGGTGCAGATGTCTAGGTCAGACAGCTGGAAGCCTTCTCGCTGACAGCTGGTGAGTGCACCATCTGTACATCCTTGCAGGGTCCATCAATGATATCTCTGGATGCAACCAGTTCTGGGACTGGGAACACTGGATGGCTCGAGCTGCGCCCTGCGTTCAGTGTGGGTGCGGTTTGGTCATCAGGAGAGACACGCAGGCCTGAGTCTGCGACACGCTGTATTCGTCATTGCTGGCGAAGAGCTGGCAGTCGTTCGCCTTCTTGTTCCTTGCAAGGTGGAATCTCCCTGAGGGGACAAGCTCCTTCCGGTTCTGGCGTTTCAATTTCTTGGAAACATTTGGGGGCAGCTCATACCCCGTACACGTGGCTGAGGTTGGTCTGGTCCTCAGTTGAGGAGCATCGTGAAAGCCTCTTTGCACTACCCTTCACTTGTTCTCAGGTTTGTTTGCGCCTCCGAGCACCTACCGGCTTGTCATTGGTAGTTGGGGCAGCTGTGAGCCAGTTGGTGGCTCCGGTGCTTGTGGCCTCGGAGTCAGTAGGCGTGTAATCACCTGCTTCGATGATGAGGACTACCCCCAACAACTGGAGCTATGTGAGAATGGACTGGAGACCCCAACACAACAGGGATGCACCGTGGACTGTCCAGAGCTTGTGGTGTCCAAAGTCTACGGGCATCCGAACTTCTTTGGGATTCTGAGGCCAGGCTCTGCGTTTCTTCTGCGGTGGTTGGATTACTAGGGTCTTTTAAACCTCCGAGCTCTTCAGCCTTCTGGCTCAAGAGATTTGAGACTGAAGCCCGAACATGCATGCTGGAAACACCCACGCCAGCTCATGCACCTTTTCATGCGTGTGCTGTGTCAGAAGCCCTGCAAGAGTGGCGAAGGTGGGCAAGTGAGGGTGACACGAGAGCTTTACTTCAGAAGCAGTGTTCACCAGGAGTCTTCTTTTCCGGGTCGGCGGTTTTGATGCAGTCGTCGACTCCATCCTGCAGCTTGCAAGAGCAATCCTCATAGCCGAGGAGGAACGTGAAGTGTTCAAATTTCAAATGATCACAGTGACGGCAATTTGCCGACGTGCCTTGCAGTTTGCAGTTGAGCATGAGTTTAGTTTAGCCCATTGAACTACAGGAGTTTGAATTCAGCCGAAGCTTTCCTTCTCGGCAGGAGACATCACGTGCTCTTCTTCTAAGGGGGCCGCCGGGTTCTGGAAAGACCTACTTGACGACAGTCTTTGCAGAATTCGCTAGCTTGGAGTCAGGAGATTCAGGCGCATCTTCCAAGTGTTTGTTTCTCAGCCTCACAGTCGGGCCTTATCTTCGAAAAGGGGCCAGGTATCTGTCCGACACTTGAAAACCCTGCATAAGGACAGCATCATCAGAATCATGGGGCATTGCACTCCACGAACATACCTTCGAAACAACACTGATTCCGAAAAGGTACGGTAAAAGCTTCAAACAACTGCACGGAGAAAAAACAAAACGTTTGCGAGACTTCTGTTATACAAGCAGATTAATTAAATCCAATAAGCCCCATCCAAAATTCTGAAGTCTCCATACAGCATCATACAGCCTATGAAGCCTCACGCGGCGGGCGCAAGCGGCTTGGGAGTGAGAAACGGACCGAGCGCCTGGGACAAGATTTGGATTTAGCCTACAAACAAGTGTTTTTCTTAAACAAGTTTTTTTCGGAAGGATTCTTGAAGAACCAAGAATCCTTCAAACGTGCATGAGCGTGGTCGAGGGAAGCTTCAGAAGTGTATGTAAACTTCAGGCCGCATTCATTCTGGGGACTAGAAGGGGCGGTTGGAGGTCAAATGATGGGAGTTCATTCGGCAGCACCGCCGTCCACCCCTGCAAGCATAGCCTTGACTATGCATGCATTTGAACTGGGCCATTTCGGCAGGGCCGGATTTAGAGGCTGACGCGACAGGCGAACGCTGTCTGAGCTAGACATCAGTAACCAGTAAAACCTTCAGGGTCAGAAGCGGACCCGCAATGATGCTGGCCTGTCGAGCATCATCGGCAGCATTGGGTCGCCGTTTCTCACGCTCCAAACATGCAGATGTCGGGAGTCAGACTGCATCAATAAAGCGGCTCGGCGGCACTCCAACGCAACCCATAAGCAAATCGGGCAATGCCCATTCGTGCTGGCGTCACTTGTTTGATTCTCAGGACTGTGCGTTTCTGAAAACTAGCTCCAAGACGGTCTTAAACCCAAGCTGAGAAGAATTTAGCATCAAAAAGAGGTCAAGTGGTACAGGACGATCCCCAAACCAAGAAATGGCCGAATGGGCCAGCTTCATCAGCAGAATGCGTGCTTTTTCAGGTGTTGTAGGCTCGTGAGGGACTCTATCCTGGTTTTTCTGCTTTCATACGTGACAGTTGTATGCGCTTCTTCAAAAGGCTTCTCGACAGTATGGAAGTTTGATGGGCTTGCTGTTCATGATGAGTTTATGATATTTAAAGTGTATGAAATCACGTGATGGCTTTGGGGTCTAGTTAATTAGGACAGCAGCAGGGCCGGCCGATGCTGTAATGCCGCAATGCCTCAATACAAGAGTCGGATAAGGTGTGCAGCCTAGAGTCTAGAGCTGTCTCGCAATGTAACTGCTTTGGGCGGCTGTCTTGTCTTTTCTGGTGCAAGAGGGATCTCAATTCTGGTTTTCTTCAACTGCTTGAAGGTGGGACAGTCCGCTTCAACGCCTCCGAGCCGCCTTTAGATGAGACTTAAAGATCTTGGATATCTTGGGGCTAACACGGAGTGACGCCCATGCCGCCGCCCCCCGCCCTTGGAAGCCGTGGAGGCGTGCTTTTGGTTGTCAAAAAATTAAGGCTTTTCTCCGCGTCATTGAAGGTTTGGGAAAAATTTTTCGGGCAAGCATCATCGGCACAATGGGGCCTTCGTTTCTCACTTTTGGACACCTCTACAAGGGTTTTGGAGGGGCGTTGGAACCTCATATTGTGCGCTGTCAAGAGGGAAAAGGGGCCCAAACAGGCCCATGATGCTCATCATGCCAGCTCTTGGGTCTGCTGGGCGCTGAAAATACGCTATAAACCCCAACAAAACGCTCAAAATACATGCCGTGGGCAGTGTTTGTGGCTGTAAATGAAGGAAGGGAACAAAGCACAAAGATTTCTAATACAAACAACCTCACGACAGGAAAGAAGAAAGCCCACGAAACCAAATATTCTGGAAATCCTCTCAACTTTGGGGTCATTATCTTCTTTTCTTACTCTTTCACCTGAAATCACCACAGGACAAATACCAGTGTTGGTAGGACCTGCACTGTATGACGGCACGGGACAGGTTTGGAGTGCATTCATTGCGCAGGCCAAACAAAGTCGTCTTTGATGGCGTTTGTTGGGTTTTTGACCCCTTCTAGTCCCAATTAAGCCAAAATGGGGTCCCAACTGTGCTGATGATGCTGGCGTACAGGTGTGCGCGCGCAAGCACAATTGGGATCCCATTTTGGGTCGTTTTCAATTAAACTAGAGAGAACAAGACCTTCCAAACAAAAAAAAACAACAGGTACAAGAACATCATTTTTCCGAACACCTCTCTCGATCAGGGGCATCAGCAGGGTTGGGGTGGGCTTGGCTTTCACAGGATGGCTGGGTGGGCAGGAGGGGGCGGCCAGGCCGGCACATGCCGCCAGGCCCTAAATTTACAACCAGACAACCAATACATCCAATGTACAACTAGACAGAAAGTAGAATAGCAAATTTACAGCCAGCTTTCAAATGCTGGGTAATGTTGGCTCTTGAATTGAAGAGTTGTGTTTGTTTGCACTTGCATGCAGAACAGCGGAGTTTATGTAGGTAGCTGGAGATGTCTTGGCTTCAAGGCTCATGCTTTCGGAGCTGTTGTGCGCCATTTGAAATGCTTCAGCTGAGGCAATTCTGCAGATTTAGTTTGTTTTTGCCGTTTTCGTTTCAGATGTGCAGAAATACGTTCCCCCTGTACACTTGTAATGACCCCCGAAGAGCGGTACCCAGTGGCGTTGTGTGTGTTCAGACGGTCACGTGCATAAAAGCAAGTCTTGCCAGTCTTGCTCTAGTGATGCGACACATTGTAGTTTCCAGTAATTGTATAAGTTGCTTAGTCAGTGGTATGCTTAAGTCTCGTTTTAGAGAACTGGGGCCAGATAGGTGGCGTCTTGGGTCAGGGGCACAGAAACGTGGGCCAATCAGTGAGAGATCTGGGTCAATCAGCTGAACGATGGCGCCAGCAGACAAAATTTTGGGGCCATGAGACGAAATTACGGGTTGGGGATGTCAAAGTTGGGGCGAAATTACCATAATTTTGGGGCCACGTATTCGTGCCAGATTGCAGGGTTGTTGGTGGCAGGTTGTAATTCTTTCGGGCCGCATCAGGCAAAAACGCGATCTTGAGCTAACCATCTTATCACGGACCCTAGACTGCGCCCCGCAGTTTTCTGGCCGGATTTGAGGTCCGCGAAAGTTTACCGTGGGAATTCGTCGGAACCCGTCGGAGCCCTAAATTGCGCACATTTGCGCACCAGTTCCGGTCCCCGGCCAGAGCCACGCGGAACACGTGGGAACCCGGTCGGCACCAGTTTTCCGTCAGACGCCAGTTCGTCGGAACCCGTGTTGGTGGGGCCCTAAATTGCGTACCAGTTTCGGAGCCCACGGTCCAGAATTCGGGGTCCACGGAACCTGTCGGAACCGTCGGAACCCGGGGCCCTGACTCTCGCACCTGTTCTGGCCCCAAAATAAGCATT